GTGCGGCGACCCCTGCTTTCCAGGTTTTCCAGCCGGAGTACGCGGAGGAAAAGCAAGGTGAGCTGGCCTCTCGTTTCCTCTTTGCAAAAGAAAAAAATGATTGTTCTGGAAAAACACACCCAGCGTTTCGAAAGAAGCAACGTGCCCCGGAGGCGGGCGATGGAAGTTGCTTTTAAGAAGCGCTTGTTTCAGTCCTGGGAATCCGCGCTCTGCAGGGTGAGGTTAAAGAGGGGGGCTGAGGCCCGGCACATCCACTTTGGAAAAACTTTGTTCTTTCAGTTGATCGGGCAAGATCATGAGAAGGTGAAGGGGGAGTAGCCCCATTCCAGCTCATGCCGGGAATGGAGTTTGCGCCCCAGTTTCTGTGACTCGTGTGAGCAGAGCCTCCAGTGGGCACTGAGTGACAAGCCCGGTTAGTGAGAGGAGCTGCGTCTTGAGTTTGCTCTGCCCTGTTTTCAGCTATAAAACCAGAGTTAATCTTCTCGTCTTATGTGGGAACCTCACTGATAGTTGAGGGTAGAGTTCTTTACTTCTGGGGCAAATTTTTGGAGCCAGCTAGAAGTGGGGAAGAGACTGAAATCCACCCAACTCTTTTCATTCCATTCCCTTCAATTTTTAATTCTTCCACCCCCCACCCCCATCTGTCAGCCTCCTGAAGGATAGAATGCTCTAATAGTTGACGTTTCAGCTCTTCCCATAGGAAAAAAAAAATGTTTTCCAGATTTGTAAAAACATTAATAAGAATTTCAAAGCCCAATATTAGGGATTCTTATCCACAGAGTTTTAATTATTTTCTCATATTTACCATCTGCAAATCACTTTCATATACTGTGTTAGGTCATATATAAATATACATACATATATGGGGGCTGATGACCCTCTGCTAGATATTGATTTATATATTTTTCTTGGAGGGGTACATACATATATATATGATATATATTATGTATACACACACACACATTTGACTGAGTTATCCCAAATTAACTTTTCCTGCTAATGTAAATCCCCCTGTATTTTAGTAAATTTCATAGTCCTCCACAGGGCCCGCTAGCAGTGAAAAATGTCATTTCAGTATTTTTGTATAAATCCAGGACATGCCCTATTATATGAAATTATACAATAATGATATAGTAAGTCTTTAATTAGAAAACATCCCTGGATTGTGAAAATTGCAGCTCTTAGATCACAGAATGTGCTTTTGAAAAAAATAAAAAAGACTGTGTATTTAAATAAGGCATATATGATTTTTTACCTATGCCTTATTGGATAAATTGACAGTGAGACTCGGCTGACGACCCTCTGCTAGATATTGATTTATATGTTTTTCTTGGAGGGGTACCAAAGTGTTCTGGTCTATAGAGTCAGTTATTTTATTTTGTTCTTTGCTTCAGCTGACCCCCCTTTTTGGAAGACTAGCTTCATGGCTTTTTCAAACTGACTCAATAGCCACGAACTGTGGGAAGGTATTTAACTGACTCACTCATGAGACAAAGACTAAGTGGTTCATTGGTAAATAAGATTTGCCTACACAAAAGGACCTTATATTCAAAATGAGGAAAACTATACTTGCCCCAAAACTACAAGACATAATAGGCAGTGATAAAAGTAAAGAAGTAAAATGAGCAACAGGAGTCAAGAGAACAGAGATGATATAAATGACATCACAGTATTTTAAAGACACCTTATTTTCTACATAGTCTCATGCAATCAATATTTTATTGCATTGCATTAGACTCCATGAGTACAATGTAATAACCAAAAAATGTATATAAATTGCTTTAGGGATGAAATTTTGATACCTTGTATGTCCAGGGGATCATATTTAGTGAATCATCCTTGTAAATAAAATGGAAGGGCAGACCAATGCCAATCTCTGTCTACCTGCAGACTTCATCAGAAGAGTTTTAATGAAAGTGAAAATACTAGAGTCTTTGTACTTTTGCAGGAGCAACATCCTTTCTTTTGTTAAATGTTTGATATAATGACAGCATTTTAATGATCAAAGTTTTCAATTGTACACTTACTTTAATTTTAAAATAAACTGTAGATCTTTTTCTTAGAATTTAGGACCTCTCCTTGAGAAAACACAGGAGTTTTGTACATTGTGGTTGCAAATCACTGCTTTAGGCAATATTTCTTTTGTTGCATTCATAAACTTTTTAGAAGAAGGAAGTCTCACTGAAATATTCTGAGTACCCCACTTGACAATTTACTCTTTTAAATGGAAATAGAGATAAAATATATCTATAGGGTAAACCAAAATAAAAGTTACTTAACGAATATATGCATTGCTATTTTCCTAAAGATATTCTTCTTTTACTAATATTCATATGCTCAACATGTTGAAATAGAAAAATCAGGTTGTTGTGTAAAAATATTTTTGGAAAATTCCCCTTAATATAGGAAGGGAGTTGTGATTTGAAACAAACACCTAATGTGTTATTTTTACCACACACTTTGAAGATCCATACAGATTGCAGTCGTGCAATAGTGTAGTTTCTAATTTTCTTTCAGAAACAATTTTACTGTAACCTCTTTTCTTGATGTTTTCCTAGGGATTGAAAATTTTATAATTCACAGAGAATTATAAAAAATACCAACTCTATCATCTCTCACATAAAATGAAATATGTGACTGGTGTGATTTGAGATTGGTACAGGAATCGTCGTTGTTGGTTTAGATTTGAAGTAAAGTAAGCAATTTTGTTATTTTTCACATTATTCAGATAACTTAATTGGAACCTGAAGTGTGAGCGTTAAAAAAACCAACTGTAGAAATGTAGCATTAGTGATTAAATAGAATATTCATTTTCATACTCAGATTATTTCTTCTTTTGATTTCTTATCTAAGCATAATTATTTTACTTAGCTCTTTTTGCACGGTGTCATTGTGAAAAGGAGACTCACTTGGAAAACAACAAAACTAGGGTAACATTTAGGAAAACTTCAGATTGCCAAGATGGGGCAAACAGTGTGAGATATCAGTGTTACATTAACAATTTGGGGTAAAAATAGACTCTCACTTATGATTCCTTAATAACTACTGCATTTATATATTATATAATTTTGTGATCTTGAAATGGCATAATAAATAGCATTTCCCCACTATTCCAACACTGGCATTTCCAAATGATCTTACAAAATTCTAATTCATTAAAATTTCTTGCAGTGAATGAATAAGTACTAATACACTCTGAGGGAATGAGCTATTTTTTCCAGCATTACTTTTGAGTGAGTAGCATTGTGTTCTGGGAAGTGAGTAGCACTGTGGTCTGGGAAGCTTTCCCTTGATTTGACTCTTTTTTTCTCTCTTTTCTTTTCCTCCAGAACAAAAAGAGAGTAAATGTGACTCATTCCAGAGTGGACTAAAAGAACCCGCCTCCAAATCCCATCACCCTACCCTGGGATCGCCTCCGAAGGCTACTGGTGTCACTGGAAAACAAAATCTTCGGTCATCTGTTTCGCAGAACTCAAACAAGCATGGTAACCTTCTGTTTTCGCCCTCTGGGGACCAGTCAGGAGGCGAAGAGAGCCCCAGGTCCCTGTCGTCTTCTGACCGGGAATCGGGAAACGAGAGCGAGTGGGCCAGAAACTTCCCTGCTCCCAGAGCCAGGCTTCGCTCGGTGTCCTCGAGCCCCCGGGACCCTCTTGACATCCTGACCAAGATCTTCCCGGGCCACAGGCGCAGCCGGCTGGAGGGCATCCTGCACATCTGCGGAGGGGACGTGGTCCAAGCCATCGAACAGGTCCTGAGCGGGAAAGAGCAGCCCCCCGGCCCCAGGGGCCCCAGGGGCCTAGCCAGCCCTGGAGAGCTGGGATGTGCAGCTTTCCAGACCGCTTCGCACTGCAGCTTAGCTGCACTTGGCTTGGGAGCGCTAGGAAATAAGTCAGCTTTCTCCCCTCTTCACACTGCGTCTGCTGCTTACGGAGGCGATGCGGGTCTCTACAGCTTAGGTCCTAGGCTAGGCGTCAGTCCCTTACGGTTGGCATACCCCCCTCCCGGGAGAGGGCTGGCTGGTCTCATGGCTCCCTACCTGACCCCCGGCTTGGTGCCAGCATTGCCCTTCCACCCAGCTTTGGATTATGCCTTTCCGGGCATGATTAGGGATTCTTCCTACCACCCTAGTAAAGACTCCGTAACTGCTAGCAGACTGTATTCCAGGCTGAATCAGGACGATCTGTGACACATCTGCCTGCCCTCCCTTCCTGGAGTATTTCTAGAAGGCATGCACTACAACCCCACACCCACACCCACACCCACACCCACACATGTGTTTACTTTGTATGTGAGTGGATTACTAAAGATGCCACTTTTTACAAGCAATATAATAAACTTGAGATCTAAAGACTTCTTTAGCATTTATTAAGTGAAAGAAGTATTTAAACATTATATGTGCCTTAAATAAAGCCATTTCAAGAAATACTTTTATTTTAAGCTAATGCATTTTCTGCCTAAAATATACATTGTAAATTTTCTATTTTAGAACTATACTTGTTTTTATTATATTGAAAAGTGCAGTTTATAGTTGTAAAATACATTTGTAAGTATAAAACAATCCAGCATAATATAAAATTAGCCAAAAGGAAGAACTGAAAATTTGAGGTACTTCTAAATAATGATTGTTTTAAACTTTCTCCTGTTCCTTGTACACTGGAGAGAAAATGTTATTCAAAGTATTTTAAAATATTTTATTCATATATAAATGATTAGTTGTAATAAGTAAAACCTTTGAGAAATTTAAATTCCTTATTTGTTTCTGAATGTCTTATTTTTCATTCGTATCTGTCATTTGTGATAACAGTGCCATTAATAAAACATTTCTCCTTAAAGTGTACTTTGTGAATTACACAAAGGCCCAAGAAGTAAATCTTAGGAAATAAGACTCCGCCATCTCCTGGCCACTATCACTAATTGCAACTCAGTTCTGATAAGAGTATAGATAGAATCCAATGGTTTCCTAATTTTCCTAATTCATATAAGGTAACCATTTTTTGAAATAGTTATTTTAGATTATGCTACATAGAAATTTTCATACTATAAAGTGAACATTTGCTGTGGATGAGAATTTTAGGCTTTTAGAGAGCTATGCCTGTATCTGGGGAAATATTCTATGTGTTTGTGACAAGAATACAGTAGTCATTCTCAAAGGTGAAAATAACATTCAGAAAACTTAAATAGCTGTTCAGATAAATATTGATTGACTCTAGATAGGTGATGCTTAATGCACTGAAGAGAGATTATGAGATTCCCAAAGGAGAAAAATAGTTATTAAATTTTAGAGGTTTTCTTGAGATTTTAAAAATCTGGAGCATTTGAAAGCTGTTTATTTCAATCAATGGAAAGTCCCTGAGAAAACTGCTTACAAAACAATTTTATGGAGGTTTTTTTTTTTTTTTAACCTGTCATCATTTTTTTAAAGGACAGTAACTTTATTGTAAATAGATACCCAGCTGTGGTGTAAGATGGTGAATGAGAGATGGTTTAAACAGTGTGAGCAGCATGATTCACCAGAGATTTCTTAAATTACACGTATGTGTGTGTGTGTGTGTGACTCACTCAAGCCCTATCAGTTCTGTCATCATGAAGGCTTTCCCATGAAGCCAAATGAGAATATATTTCTAAAGTATATTTTACCAGCAAATATCATATTAAATGATTGCACTTTATCTAGCACTGATTTAGGATGTAAATATGTTTAATATAGTATGCATTAATTTTAATGTGTGCATTTGAGAAAACAGATCCTGTAAAATTAGTTGATGCAATTAATATTCATTATTTATAAAAATACTTTAGATTTTAAGCCTGGACCATGGTACAATGCCTGGCAAGTAGTCGATATTCAATTGCTACAAACTGAGTGAAGAAAACTGTTTTGGGTAATAGAACTCGTTGAGGATCTGATAAAACCAAAAACTTCTATGAAGTGACCTTCAGACACACAGTTTTGCACATAATTTCATGGGGTTCTTGAATCTCCTAAATGCCATTCAGGTTAGAATCCTTGGTTATTCTTATGTTGTTTCCATTGCACTAATTCATTTACTGAATGCTATTTTTTGTGTGTGAAAAGTGCTAGATCCTATAGAGGATGCCAAACATAAAATATTGCACTATCAAGGAAGTTATATTATACAACAGAGATCTGGTTTAAAAATACAACGCTAGAATTGCTAAATCCTTTATGTGGTTTCTATAATGCTGGGCATGTGTCCATTTGAGAGACTAACTTGCTTTAGGACTGGAACAACATCCATTTGGGCTGTATTCAATTAAAAAATAATTTTATAATCTTAAAACTTAATTTATATGATGCTTTATATGTTTCATACCCTTTACAATAATTTTATAACTTAATTAATTTTATAGAATAGGTAACCTTGTTCAACCATTAACTTTGTATGTGAGGAAATAGTGGCTCAGCAGTAGTGTGGTTCACCCCCAGTGTTAAAATAATAGTGTCAACAATCAGGAGTGTTTTACACTGACTGAAATAAATTTAAAAAGTATTAGCGTAGAAATTTATTTAACAACAATTTATTAAGCATTTACTTTGTGCCAGGCATTGCACTAGACACAGGGGACAAAGAGGTGACTAAGATACAATACCTTGGCTCAAGTTGTTCACAGTCATATTACCATGTGTACAAAAACAATACACCCAGTATTGTTGGTACTATTTGAGATTGTGGTTATACTAGTGAGTTCTTTGTGATCTTGACATTTATGCCCATGGATGCTGCTTGAGGACTGACCTCCTAAGCCTCTAATTAGGGGTGAGAGGAAGAGGGAGAACATCCATTCTGTTTGGTAAACAATTTCAGGTCTATCATGAAAGACATGAGCAAAGAGGAGGCTTTTGTTCACTTTGATGGTCTTGTGGATCAGAATTATTGCCCAATCCCAACCCCAGGGTTGGTCTTTTGGAATTCATCTGACTCAGGCCTCCTGGTCTAAGCTCTCATCTAGCAATTCTGTGAAAATGGGTGAGAGCTGAGGTGACAATTGAAAAGCATATGATTCAAATCTGTTTTTCTCTGCAACTTCTGCTGAAACAAAGGATTATAGGGATTTTAAGACTTCCCCTTGTAGAAATTCCTAACTGTGAAATTGGAACTAAGGAAGCGATTTATGAGGTGTCTTAGCCATTCAACTCTTTATTTTTAAAATGTATTTTTTAGACATTTTTAAATCTTTGAAATGAAAAAGCCTTCAGAATATGAAGCTTAGGGAAAAGCACCTTATTTTATACCACTGTGCATAGAAAAGATCTCCCACGCAGAAATTGAGACTTAGTGTGTCATCAGCTTCATATAGGCAAATCTCTTTCCTTAGGGCAGCCCGATTCCTTTTTCATTGTTAACATTATTACAGATGTCCCCCATTTTTCCCCCTTTGCCCCCCTGCACCCAAACCCTGCTCTCTCCTCCTTCTGGCCATCACCACACTGTTGTTGGCGTCCATGGACTATGCCTGCTTGTTCCTGGCTGTTCCCTTCGCCTTCTTTCATTCCCGCCTGCCGCACCTCCCTCCCCTCTGACAGCTGTCAGCCTGTACCATGTATCCATGACTCTTCAGTTTTGTGGGTCAGTTTATTTTGTTCGTTAGATTCCACATATAAGTGATCATATGGTACTTGTCTTTCTCTGACCGGCTTGTTTAGCTTAGCATTATAACTCTCAGGTCCATCCATGTTATCGCAGAAGGTAGGATCCCTTCCTTCTTACAGCTGCGTAGTATTCCCCGATGCCTCAGTGTAGATGCTCATCCTCAGGTCAAGGGTAGTTTCCCGCTCAGATTTCTTCCTTCCGTCCCTGGGCCCACATCTCCAAATAATCCCATTATGATGCAAATATAGGCCCTTAGTTGTTTGACATTGACCTTTTTCAAACTGAAGCTGTTTTGATGTAATACTTCAGAGGAGCTGTGTCAAATATTAAAACCTTTTTTGTTTGTTTATGCTTACTAAGTATTATCCAAATCAGAGAAATTCATTACCATTTTCCCTTTCTGAATTCCATGATAGTGATGGTGGATTCAGAGAAAAAGGAGACAAGGGTGAGAACCATGAAGATGTCTCTTTCTCCCCTTGGCAAATTTGGTAATTGAAAAAAACTGACATTTTAATTTTTATTTCAGACTGTGTCACATATCTCCAAGTAAAAATTGCCACATTATACATATAGTCTTAGGAGGATGTCCATAATGTTAAACTGGATGCACAAATGTGGCCTTATCAAAATACATGTCAGAAAGTTGCTTTTAAATATCAAATATTTATTAAAATCCATTCTATAGATAACTTCATCAAGAAATGTGGAGTAGATGTTGGTAAAACTAGGAGTAAATATATAAAAAGTTGAGCAAGCATGTCAAAGAATATTGAGAAAATCCATGTCAATGAGGAGGTATTTTATTTTATTTTTTCATTTTTTCAATTAAATTTATTGGGGTGACATTGGTTAATAAGATTATATAGGTTTTGAGAGTATGCACTCATGTTCATTGCAGCATTATTCACAGTGGCCAAGACAGGAGGTATTTTAGATCCCTCTCCTTGACCTTTTATAACATTTTTGTCAACAAAATATATGAAGGAAAAAAATATAAAATTGTTATCTTATTCATGGATAACACACATTTGAGAATTGCAGCTAATCTTTTGGATGACAGAATCAAGTTTTTTGTGTGTGTGTGCTATTTTTAAAATTTATCAAACTTATTGAGGTGACATTGGCTGATAAAATTATATAGGTTTCAAGTGTACAAATCTATAATATAAAATACATTATACTGTTTGGGTCTGAGTTTTTGTCTTTTTGTTTATTTGTTGCTTTCAGTTTTATATCCCACATACGAGTGAAATCATAGAGTTCTTGACTTTTTCCATATGACTTATTTCGCTTAGCATGATATTCACAAAATCTATCCATGTTGTCACAATGGCAGCATTTCATCTTTTCTTATGGCTGAGTAACATTCCATTGTGTGTGTGTGTATAAACACATACACACCACTTTTTTTTATTCAATCATCTATCAAAGGTTACTTTGGTTGCCAGTGTCTTGGCTACAATAAATAAATACTGTAGTGAACATTGGGGTACATATGTCTTTAAGAATAAATGTCAATTTTGGGGGGTAAATGGCCAGAAAAGGGATTGCTGGGTCATATGATAACTTTTCCATAGTGTCTGTACCAGTTTACACTTCATTCCCACCAGCAGTGGAGGAGGGTTTCTCTTTCTCCACAACCTTTCCAACACTTATTATGACTTGTCTTGTTGATAATAGCCATTCCAACAGGTGTGAAGGTGATATGTTATTGTGTTTATTTTTGTTTTATTGTTTTGTTTTTTACTTTTTAAATTTATCTTTATTGTTGAGAGTATTACAGGTATACCATTTTCCCCTCCAATTGATCCCCTCTACTTCCCTCCCACCCCCTTCCCAGGCCTTCACCCCATTATTAACTGTGTCC